CACCTGGCGTGGGCACGTCTAACTACTATGGAGTTCGCAGAACCTGAGCGAAAATTCCTTTTCTCAGGCGTGGCCACTGGCGTGGGCACGCCTAACCACTAATCTCCTGCCGCAAAACATCAAACCATCAATTGACACTAATACATAACTAAAACTTCAAAAATGCATAAAAACTAAAACAAATAGTCTTGGGTTGCCTCCCAAGTAGCGCCTTTCTTTATGTCTTTGGCTAGACATGGCCAAAACCCTCAAGCATAATAAAGTGGATCTTGGAGGTGTTCAACTTCCTTCTTCAACATAGAAACCCTCATAATAAGGTTTGAGACGATGGCCATTCACCACGAACTTTTTCTCCGTTTTCAAACTTTGGATTTCTACTGCACCATAATGGAACACATTAGAAACGACAAATGGACCAATCCAACGAGAACGCAACTTACCGGGAAAAAGTTTAAGCCTTGAGTGATACAAGAGGACTTTTGCCCCACTACAAAAGTTCTCCTAGAAACCTGCTGATCATGAAAGATTTTACTCTTTTCTTTATAGATCGTGGCATTCTCATACGCCTCATTTCTTATTTCTTCCAACTCTTGTAGCTGCAATTTCCTTTGGACCCCTGCTTCATCTACTCCCATGTTACATTGCTTCACTGCCCAAAACGCCTTGTGTTCGAACTCCACGGGGAGATGGCAAGCCTTACCGAAGACAAGTCTATACGGAGACATCCCAATCGGCGTCTTATACGCGGTTCTATAAGCCCATAGTGCGTCTTCTAACTTTAAACTCCAATCCTTCCTATCCGACGCACCATCTTCTCCAAGATCGACTTGATTTCCCTGTTTGACACTTCGGCCTGACCGTTCGCCTGCGGGTGATACGGTGTGGATACCTTATGCAGTACACCGTATTTTCGAAACAAGCCGTGATAGTCTTGTTGCAAAATGTGTCCCTCTATCACTAACCACAGCTCTTGGCATTCCAAAACGGACAAAGATATTAGATTTTAAGAAATCTGCAACCACTCTAGAATCATTAGTACGGGTGGCTTTAGCTTCCACCCATTTAGAAACATAATCTACAGCAGTAAAATGTATAGGAAACCAAAAGATGAGGGAAAAGGACCCATAAAATCTATCCCCCAAACATCAAAAATTTCAACAAATAACATGGGGGTTTGAAGCATTTGGTCCCTACGAAAATATTCCCTACCCTTTGACACCTATCACAGGATTTACAGAATAAATAAGCATCTTTGAACAGGGTAGGCCAATAAAAGCCACTCTCTAACACTTTGCGAGCTGTTCGCTTGGGCCCAAAATGCCCTCCACATGCAAATGAATGGCAAAAATTTAAATGGAGTGAAATTCACCTGCACTTACACACCTCCTGAGCACTTGATCCGAACATTGCCTCCAAAGGTACGGGTCGTCCCAAATGTAATATTTGGCATCACTCTTTAACTTGTCTCTCTTAGCCTTCGGCCACCCTGCAGGCAGTTGATTAGTCACTAAAAGTTTACTAAATCGGCATACCAGGGTACAGACGCGTTCGCAGCAAGTAGTTGTTCCTCTGGAAATGCCTCCCTCAATGGTGGCTCCTCCTTATGAGCAAGTAGGCGGCTCAAGTGATCAGCAACTAAATTTTCTGCCCCACTTTTATCCTTAATCTCCAAGTTAAACTCTTGAAGAAGCAGGATCCATCTGATGAGCCTTGGTTTAGCATCCTTCTTCGTCATCAAGTATCTCAAGGCTGCATGATCAGAGAAAACTGTTATTTTTGCACCTAACAAATAAGGTCTAAATTTTTCTAATGCAAAAACCACAGCTAGCAATTCTTTTCTGTTGTAGAGTAGTTGAGCTGAGCTCCATTTAACGCCTTCGATGCATAGTAGATTGCATGTGCAGCTCTGCCAATCCGTTGCCCCAGCACCGCCCCACTGCATAGTCACTCGCGTCACACATTATCTCAAATGGGAGGCTCCAGTCTGGAGGTTGGATAACAGGCGGTGATGTCAATGACTCCCGCAGCCTGTCAAATGCCACCTTGCACTCTTCGGTGAAGTCGAATGCCACGTCCTTCTGCAATAGCTTGAACAGGGGCGCTCCAATTTTGAGAAATCTTTGATGAATCTCCTGTAGAAACCTGCATGACCCAAAAAGGAGCGCACCTCCCGCACACTCGCGGGGTAAGGTAGAGCAGAAATAATATCGACTTTTGCCTTGTCTACTTCTATACCTGGCCGAACTACATGCCCTAAAACAATACCATGATCCACCATGAAATGACATTTTCCCAATTTAAAACTAAATTTGTTCAATGCATCTCTTCAAAATTAAAGCTAATTATCAAGGCATTCATCAAAACTATCTATACACTAAAATCATCCATAAACACCTCAATAATCTTTTCTACATATTCAGAGAATATACTTACCATACACCTCTGAAAAGTAGCTGGGGTGTTGCAGAGGCCGAAAGGCATCCTCCGATATGCAAATGTACCGAAGGGGCAGGTGAAGGTAGTTTTCTCCTGATCCTCTGGTGCTATTGCAATCTGAAAATAACCAGAGAAACCATCAAGAAAACAATAATAGACACGGCCAGCTAACCTTTCTATCATCTGATCAATAAAAGGCAGAGGGAAGTGGTCCTTCTTCGTCACAGCATTCAGACGCCGATAGTCAATGCACTGGCGCCATCCTGTGGGTTTCCTCACCGGGACCATCTCACCCTCTTGGTTCTCTTCAACTGTTACTCCCGCCTTTTTCGGGACTACTTGCACCGGCTCACCCAGGGGCTATCTGAGATGGCGAAATGATCCCCACTTTAGGAGTTTAAGTATCTCCTTCTTGACCACTTCCATCATTAGTGGGTTCAATCTCCGTTGCCCTTGTCTAACTGGCTTCGCATCATCCTCAAGCCGGATCCGATGCATGCATAAGGAGGGGCTAATTCCTTTGATATCTGCTACACTCCACCCAATTGCCTCCTTATGATCTCGAAGAAGACGAAGAATCTATCTTCTTGCCCTGGTGACAGGTGTGCAGATATGATGACTGGCAGTGTCTCATTGTCCCCGAGAAAAGCATACTTCAAATGCTTTGGGAGAGGTTTGAGCTCCAACTCAGGCGCCTGCACAATAGAAGGCAACAATTTTGCCTGAGTTTCTGGTACAAAAACAGAAGTAAGCTCATACCTTGGGAAATTGGTGGGAGCGAATGCAGTGCTCCAACAGTGGTATAGCTCATCACTTATTTCTACATCAAGAGTTGCTCCCAACTCAAGATGTTTGGCCAATGCCACTGCCAGTGCATCAACCCCATCCAATTCAAATATTTCCTGTACAAGGGGCTCAACAACACTTAAAGCATAAACAGAGTTAGTCTCATCTGGGTACTTCATCGCCTCAAAAATATTAAAATTTACAATTTTCCCATCAAACTCCATCGACAAGGTACCCTCATTTACATCTATTTTCGTCCTAGCAGTGCTTAAAAATGGCCTACCTAACAGAATAGGAGACGGATTTAGTGCCCTTTCATCCCCCATGTCTAGGACATAGAAATCTGCAGGAAAAACTAACTCATTGACCTGTACCAAAACATCTTCAACTAACCCTTCCGGGTAAGCATTGGTACGGTCTGCAAGTTGAATTATGATGGCCTGTGCCTTTTAACGGGCCAAGATTTAGAGATGCATAAATTGTCTTAGGCATAACATTAATTGACGCCCCCAAATCCAACATTGCTTTCCTAATTGGAGTACCTCCTATCTTGCAGGGAATGGTGAACATACCTGGATCTCCACATTTTTGTGGGAGCTTCCTCTGGAGTATAGCTGACACGTTTTCTCCCACCGCCACTCGTTCATCTCCCCTTAGCTTCCTCTTGTGGGTGCACAAGTCCTTCAAAAATTTGGCATATTTCGGTATCTGCTTGATTGCATCCAGTAGGGGATGTTAATCTCTACCTTCCTGAATACATCCAAAAGTTCCTTTTCCTTCTCTACTTTCCTTGTCTTTTCCAACCTGCAAGGAAAAGGGGGTAAGTTAGAGCTAATAGTGACTGGAGAGGTGGAGGTTACCTTAGGATCTTCACGAACACGTCCTTCCTCCTCAATTTCCTTTTCTATCTCCTCCTCGCTTTTGCTTTTTGAATTCTTCACTTTAGGTTCTTCCAGCTCCTTGCCACTCCTCAGCGTCATGGCACTTACATTCCTGGGATTTACCTCGGGTTGCGATGGCAGTTTCCCATAAACGTGAGATTCCAAGCGGTTGATGGCAGTTGCCTGTTGACTTATTCGAACATCTTGGTCCTTCTTGTCAGCTTTCGTGTCCTGCTGGAGCTGCTCGGTTTTCGCGGCCAAGGATCTGATCTCCTGTTGAAGCTGTGTAGTAGTTGCGGCCAGGTTGGTAGTAGTCGTGGCCAGGTTCTTGACTAGGTCCTCCAAGGAGCTTCCTGTATTGGAGGATGAGGGTTGAGGTTTTGGTTGCCAAGGCTGGTAGAATCCTGGTGGACGATTCGGGAATGAACCTTGTTGCCTGTTCCCATAACTGAGATTGGGATGGTCTCTCCAACCGGGTTGTATGTGTTGGAATACGGGTCATACTGCCTGCGGGCCGCGGGCACGCCTCCGGCCATATTTACCTGTTCCGCCCCGTCCTCTTGCAGAATGGGGCACGAATCCGTGCAGTGGTCCATGCTAGTACAGATTCCACACACCTTCGCTCGCGGTGTGTCTCTCATGGCCAATTGCCTGACGACCGACGTCAACTCTGACAGTTGCTGCTGGACGGATGACGTCTCTGCCTCATTGACTCTACGGGTAGGATTGCTCTCACGGAAGCCGAACTGCTGAGAATTTTCTGCCATGGCTTCAATAAGGTCCCACGCTTCCCTCGGTGTCTTGTTCGCCAGGGCTCCTCCACTCGCAGCGTCAATAATACTCCTGTCAGTTGACTGGAGTCCTTCATAGAAGTACTGAATCAGCAGTTGTTCACTAATTTGATGCTGTGGGCATCTCTTGCACAACCTGTTGAACCTTTCCCAATAGTCATACAAGGACTCCCCGGAGTACTGCTTGATGCTGCATATCTCCTTTCTCAAACTCGCAGCCCGGGATGCAGGGAAAAATTTTTCAAGGAATTTCTTCTTCAATTGTGCCCACGTGGTGATACTACCTGCAGGTAGGTAGTATAACCAATCCTTCGCTGCATCCTTGAGAGAGAATGGGAAAGCTCTAAGTCTTATTTGCTCCTCAGTGACCGCAGGAGATTTCATGCTAGAGCAAACTACTTCGAACTCCTTGACATGTTTGTGGGGTTCCTCGCCAGAAAGGCCATGGAACGATGGTAGGAGTTGAATCAATCCCGATTTCAGCTCGAAGGAGGTATTCTCAGCCAGAGTTGGGAACGTGATGCACAAGGGCTGATGAGTCAGCTCCGGGGTAGCCAGCTCCCTTAATGTCTGGGTGTTGGCCATGCTAAATTCGTCTCTTACTGACTCGTTTGCAGAAAATAAGTGCCCTTCTTTCCGTCTCTTGGTCTCTTGCCGTCGCCTACGCGCTGCCTTCTCAACCTCAGGATCGTATACCAAGTCACCTGTGCGAAAAGAACGGGGCATAAACTAGCAAAAATACCAAGAAAAAAAAGAATAAAATAAAACAAAATAAACACTGAATTCAAAAGAAGCAAATACTTCAAACGCCAGTCCCCGGCAACGGCGCCAAAAATTGACAGGTGCCGAACCTGTGCAATAATAATAAATAAATCCTAACTACCACCTGAAACAGCTAATAATCAATTCGAGTACTGGAGCAGGGACTCTAGGTGTGCAATGGGTTACTTGATTCACCCTGTTCCGAAGAGTTTGCTTAATCCGATATACCTGAATTAATTATTTAACTGAACTCCCTAACTAGCAGACAGTGGTAAGCAGGGTCGTCTTCTCAGGGACTGGAGAAATATTTGTTTCTTTTCAAATCAAGATTAATGGGGGGGGTTTTGGTATCAAAAGCCAACCGAACAAATTAAATGCAGAAAATAATTAATTAAAAGAAATAATTAAGAGAAACTCTAGCCAAGGGTATACTTCAGAAATGGTTCATGCACTGATCATTGATGCAAAAAATAATCCCAACCTTTATTAATAGATTGGTTCTAGTTGTCTCGCACGCGCTAAACAACCAACCCTTCCTTAATTTATCGATAGCTAAGGTACGACCGTTAGCTATTTCTCTAACCAAAAAACAACCCTAGGTACGACCGTAGGATTCAATTTCTAGATTGCATTAGTAATTAGAAAGGCCCAATCCTGACTAACAAACACGCTACGAGGGTTCATTCAAGCCAGATCAAATATTTCCCTGACACAAATCCAATTGTGCCAGTTGCTACTGGAATAGAAGTAACGAACAATTACGGATTCAATCACCCCTATATAGCAAAATAGCCTATATGAACAATTAATTATTGCGCACTAATCAATCATACATACGGCTATAACACTTAAGAACAGGAAATATATAAATAGTAATAAATGGAGTAAATAGTTAAAATAAATTCGATCTTCAGTAATTTCTGAACCAAATCGTCAGTTGTCCCCTTGACTAGAATTAGGGGTTTAGTTCCCCATTAGTGGAGAGTAGGCCGCGCGTGGAAAATCGGGCGAAGTCACCGTATCTGACCTTTTGGTCAAGAGCAAAAGACAAGAGCAAGGGATCCGAGTTTCCTGCAAATGTGCAGCCCTATCGTACAAGAGTCAACAACGGCGGCTTCCTTTTTGCTTCCTTTCTTTCCTCACAAAAACAACATACGAGAGGTTGCTTTGCTTGGTTTTGTTTCAATCAATTCACACAAGATAGAAAAAGCAAGATACAAAGTCAACAATTGCGGCCCTCTTGTCTCTTTTCCTGATTGCTAAGTAGAAGACATACGGGAGAAAAGGTTTCTCAATTGTTTTCTTCTACAATTCGGTCAAGGCTAATAGAAAAATTCACAGGAATCACCAAAGTCCACAAGAGTGGTTAATGTCTGCTGCTCTCTCTTCCCCTCTGCCAAGATGCGGCGCACCGTGTCCTTTCCCCCAAAAACAAAGAAAAAAACTCTCCCCCTCTAACCTAAGCCGCGCAGGAAGATAAATTACAAAATTGTTACTGCTTCCCCCCAATTGCAGCCAGACTCCCTAGACATATATTAAAATAAAATCTATTACAATTAGGTTCTTCAGCTTCTCAAACGGGCCCACGTCCGATGAATCTTCTAAAAAGTTAAATTTAAGCACTTTTCAGCAACCATTCCTGCAATTAGCACCAAAACAAAATATCAGTAGAATCCATCCAATTAGCGAAAATATTTAGTCAATTAATTATGCAATAACACCCAAAATACCCACTAAAATGCAACCTATCAAAGAGCCATTGTCGGTGACCTCCAATCGAGGCCACTAAGCTATGCTTCAAGCAAAATTAAGGAAGCAATAGAGAATGTTACAGATGAGTATGTAAGGTCATATCTTGTTTGTATGAAGAACATTCCGGAGGTATCTAGCAGTCGACATTTTCACACCGTTGGTTGTCCGCAGGGGTTGTTCTTAGGAAATCCCAATTTGCTCGTTACAAGTTGGGTTGGTCTGGGCTTGTACAAAGCCCATTTTGGGGGGGAAATGAAATTTTCATGACCCCTGGGTCAGTAGGCTATGACGGAAGACTCTTCATTATTCCTAGTCCTAATGGAGATGGATCGTTCTTTATACCATTGCGCCTACAAGCAGAACATATTAATGCTTTTAAGAAGCATTTCTATGAAGATATTTGTAATTTGTGTAGTTTCATGGGGCTCAGTAAAAAGCTTAGTCATATGTAATGTAAGATTTAGGTGCCACGAACATTTGAATTTATTTGTTGGACAGGGAACCTACAAATTGGCAGCTGGTGGAGAACAGTTCAAATTGTTGGACGTGGAACTTTTACGAAATGGAAGATGGAGTAAAGGGAAGCCAAAAATTTGTCTCCAAAGTAGTAGCAAATAAGGAGACTTTTACTCCTTTGAGATAGCTAGTATGACCTTTACGATGTCCTTTTTCTTAAACAAAAAAAAAATTAATCTTGTATGTATCAAAAGTGGATACATTAATGAGTATGGATACTTGTTAATTCATCTCAATTTGAACTCACTCTCAATTTCAATTTTTACACATGTTGTATATACCTATATCTGTTATTGTATATACTATCAATATATATAAGATTAATTTTTTTTTCTTATGCAAGGGCAATAGCCCCCCTTTTTTTTAGTATAAGCAGAAGGATTCGAATCCAAGATCTCTTGCTTCTACTTCCTCCCTCCGTATCACCCAACCCATTCCTCCCCCTTATATAAGATTAATTAAAAAAATATGATGAATAATCTTTTTCATAATATTATTACTTTTTAGTGTCAATCTATAAAACTTGCTTCTTACATAGTAAAATTTGAATTATGATGAGCAATGTGTGTTGGGTACTTAATTGTCATATTCCATCCCATAGCAAAGAAACTTGTAAATTGCATAATGGCATATCGACTATTAGATTAAGCTAGGAATGGAGTAGCTTTGGAACCACCACCGCAGCGATGAACCAGCACGGCAGGACACAGCCGACAGGAGACGTAGAGTGCGGCGGACTGGCGGATGCCGGAGAGGCGGAGAGCAGCTTCGATTTGGGAATTGGGACTTGGGAGTTGGGAGTGTTAGTGAGAGCCCTAGGCGACGGCAGTCACGGGCACTATGCAATATTGCAAATTTGCAATGGTTGTTTTCTCACTTTTCATCAGCTGAAGATGAAATCCGAATTTTCCCAAATGAAGTGATTTTGTAATTTTTAATTTATAAATTGGGGCTCCTAAATTATAATACATTCATTATGCTCCTCAATGATTTAAACATTTATTACTGATTTGATCCCCAAATTTATTCATAATTGAACACATTACTTATGTTCAAATCATTTTATGGTTTAATTGGCATTTATTTGATCACTTATACCTAAAATCCTTGGTCTATGATTTAAGAAACACATAAAAAGTGATTAATTTAAACTAATTTAGTTAGAAGTTATAATGAATTTATAATTTACACTGATTAATAATAAGTAATATTAGTTACAAACTTACAAATTACCATGAATCAATGATTAGTGATAAGTTACATTAGTTACAAACTTATAATTTATTTCAAATCAAAATAAAACTTATTTACTTGATTTGCAACTTACATGCATTCACTTATACTGTTTAGTTATTTTGTCTATACTTAAAACCTTAAGATTAGTAAATAGATAATATGAATTTTAACTTATTTGATCACTTATACCTACAATCATTAATCTATGATTTAAGGAACACATAAAAAGTGATTAATTTAAACTAGAATCAACCTTAGATTATACAATGATTAGTAATAATTTATGAATTTATAATTTACAATGAATAATACTAAGTAATATTAGTTACAAACTTACAAATTACAATTATTAGTGATAAGTTATGTTAGTTACAAATTTATAATTTATTTCAAATCAAAATTAAACTTATTTACTTACATATATTATTGTGAAAGTCAATATACTAATACATTGATGTGCAATTAATATACATTCACTTACACTGCTTAGTTGTCTTATTTATACTTAAAGCCTTAAGATTAGTGAATATGTAATGTAAATTTAGAGTACAATAATACTTGCAAGTTATAGATTACGCATTCAAATATTCAATAATTCAAATATGAATGATGTATCAAATTACCAATATCTAAATTCTAATTACTAATTATGTTTATTGTTTAATATTTAGTATTATACATATATGTATTAATTATTATCTAATTCTAGTCATGTTAGTATGTTACTCATGTATAAAATAATTAGTTATCTTATATTGTAATGTATTACTATGCATTATTGTAGTCATATAACAATTAATAAATACTAAAATAATATAAATATATTGTACATTATTATATATTATTAGTATTATAAGTACATGATATGATGATAATATCATTTACTAATTATTATCAATAGCATTTACCTATATAATATAATAAAGTATTAGTAGTATATACTAATACTAAATAGCATTTATCTATATATTATATAATTTTATATATCAATTTGGTATTCGAATGCGCGGTAATGCGGTACCCGATTTCAATTACCGAATTTTGAATTCGAAATCGGTTATTACCAAATTTATAATTTCGTTACGTATTTTATACCATATTAGAATTCGGTGAATTCGGTATGTACCGAATTGATACCGAATTACCAAATACCCGATTTCAAATTACCGAATTGAATTTGAAATCGATTATGAATTCGGTTCAAACCGAATCTGCTCACCCCTACTTTTAATGCCATGTTATGCAGTAGACTCGTGGGTTACAGCTCCCAAACACTACTATTGTTCTTCCAGCGGACTTATTTGCTTGTGTTTGTCACATGATTTAGAGACATTTTGATAATGCTCTAGACGGTGATGACTTTGGATTGAGTTTGTACTTCAGTTTGTGAAAATTCATGACTGGGAATGGAACCAATCCTTTATGCCTCTGCCAAGTCATGACAAACTTGTCTACATTCAAAATAGATTCCTGGAACCTTAATGTATTGCAGCCTTCTTTATGTGCAGATTTTGTCCCACAACCTGCTAACCTTTCGTCACTGGAGTGGCGGTTGCTGCCTGTAGTTCTTTACTACTTATTGGATTAGCAGTTGCTTTCATCCCAAAAAAGGAAAGCAGCCATCTTTTTGTTTTTTTTTTTCTTTGAGCGAGAAGAAAGTTGCCATCTACTATGTAGGAAGTCTAAATTGTGGAAAATTGAGAAAGGTTTTCAAAATAATGATTGCGTTGACTGATGATAGTTGCAAGAATTTTAGAAGGAATATATGAACTTGAAAACTAAAAATAATTCTTTGGACAAACTACTTACAATTTGAAGCTTTTTTTTTTTTTTCCACTCATGGAAAATTGGCCATGTTTTCTTGTACAATTTACTCTGTCATTCAAGTCGAATGCTTTTATAATAACCATGAATTATTTGACTGCTATTATTATTTTTTAATCTTGTTCAAGTATTCGCAATCACACTTGATGATCATATTGAAAGAAATTTTAAAGTTTAAAAAATCATGTAAAAATTTGTGGTGATAGTGTACGGATTGAAAATTGTACAATTAAAAGATCTTGAAAAACCTTAAACAGAATCATCAAAATTAAATTATAGACTTACTAAAGGTTAAACAACTCAAGAAGAAAAATTAGAGCTAGTATCCTGTCCACTTGTAATCTGACTCAAAAAAATTTAGGGGGAATTGACTTTAGTAAAAAAATGTCCAAGAATGTATTACTAGTAGATAGCCTTATAAAGTTTTATAAAAAAAAATTTAATTATTTAGAGAAAAATGATCAACCATGCGCTTGAATTTATTTAGAGAAAAATGGTGACCATGTAATCTTTTTTTTCCCTCTCTTGTGGAATAAAATTTATAACCTATCTATCTTAGTCTGAGGGGAAGAAAGAATCCAAGTGAGACGGAAAGAACCCATATAAAGTAGAGGAGTACACTATTAGACATCTTAAAGCAAAGGACTTATAGTCCAAGAGGAATTTTATATTCCTTCTCAATGGCCAACTTCCCAAATCCAGATTGGTTCTATGTAATCAACTCAGTGCAGAGTTCCCTTTCTGTCTTCTAGCTTCAACATTGTGCATTTAAGAACCATTCCTGTTCATCTTGTCTCAAATTTAGAGCTGCCTCCAAAAAAAAAAAGAGAATATTAATGCAAAATTACCCTTGCTTTTTCGAAATTTGATATATAGAACTCTTTTGATTATTTTCCAAAGTCTTTAAGGTACTTTACCATGTCATAATTCTCTCTCTCTATTTGTTTTTAAAAAATTACTTACATATTTGTAAATTCCTTTTTGGTTTATTGCCCTTTTCTTTGATGTTATAATAGGCAATACATAATATTGCTGGAATGAGATTGATGTCAAAGTAATGAAATGTCATCTTCTTTTTCTCTTGAAAAGAAGTAAAGAATGTTAAGAAAGAACTTTTTGGGTACATTCTCCAAGAGAATTTTATGAAAAGTTGAGAGTAAATGTAAATCTCAGAAAAAGATCGCCATCTAATTTATCAACTTAAAAGGAGGTCTTTATAATCTCTATATTTAAAAAAAAAAAAAGAATAATTTCAAAAATTTTAAGTACTATAGACTTGTTTTTTTTTTTTTTTTAAAAAAAGGTACCGTTAAACCCCTATATAATGGCCTGAGGTCAATTCTCTTCTTCAGCAAAAGAGTTGAGATTTTCCATCCATCAACATCTAATTTGCAGGCACCATTAATGCTAATTGTCCTTCCAAATCCCCATACGATATTGGACTTCGGCCTAATCACAATTAGCCCAACCAGATGAAACTTCCTTCATCGGAAATTACACGTGGCTTCTTTCTGTGCTGCCGACATATATACATTTATTTTTCCCTGGTCCCTGGTATAGCGGTTTGTACCAATACGTTGGTAAGGAGCACAGATCACGTGTAAGGTACGAATGCAATTACTGACATCAAAGCGGTTTAGATCAGGCACATGAGGGGTAAATTTTACCGGGGTAAATTTTACCGGAAAACATAAGGCTTTTGTAAGACGCAGATTGATTGGACATAAAGATGACTGAGAGGACAGAAACTGCAGAGCTTTTGTTTTGGAAATAATTTCAGAAGTCTCCCTGCAGTTTCTAACAATTTTATTGAGCTTCTCTAAGATTTAAAAAATTATACTTATCTCCCTTATTTTGATAGTTTTACTAACAAAACTTTAAAATAATATTGACTTGAATAATTTTTTAAATGAACACCCAAAAATACTCTTGTGGAATGAGTTTAATTTATTTTTCTATACAATTATAAGATTATTTAGTATAATTATAAGAAAAAGGTATCAAATGTTTCATGTCCATATCTACTATTAATAAACAACTATAATAATAATTTTATTACTATGATATGATATTTTTAATGGTATTTTATTATAAATTAAGATTTATAAGACAGAAAAGAAAATATTGAAATAATTCATTTAGAATTTATAAGTTTTTGGAAAAGTGAGATTATCATAATTTAGTAGTGCTTTTGGGTTATTTCTTTTTGATTTATTGTTAATTTTAATACCAAAAAATAGAAAACAAAGATAAAAAAATATTGGATTATATATAAAATTAATTTTTCAAAAAAATCACTAATTCGACATTTTGTTATAATAGAAATCTAGAGGCAATAATCGTAGTTATACAGTTTTATTAGCAAAAAATTTAAAAAAAAAGGAATAAGAAGGAAAAAGAATGAAAAAATAATTTTAAAACTCATTCTAAATACAAGCATATCAAATAAGAGAATTTCATAAAATATTTGAGAATAAAATTATTATTTTAAATAATAAGAGAGATATATATAATTTTTTAAATTTTAGAGGAACTCAGTAAAATTGTAAAAAATCTCATGAGAGGTTTCGGAAATAATCCGTTTGTTTTGTTATGGTGGGCAGAGTTGGGGAAGTAAAAAGGCAACTTGTTAGTGGTTGAAGCAATTAACGAAAACAATTTGACTTGACGTGCGGCAGAATACCAAGTACAATTGTGTCAGCTTTTTACCTCAAAAATGGTAGAGAGTATTAGAGGAGGGTAGCAACTGTTTCTAAATGTTTATTGTCAAAATTTGGTAAAAAAAAAATGTAAGGTCTAGATTG